TATATATACATATACATACATACATACATACATACATACGTGCATACCTTTTTCTGGATTAAAAATAGATAAAAAATTCATCACCAGAAATAAGAAATTACACTTTCATCTGACAGGTCTATAAGACTGCTGGTTGTTAGTTTGCTGATGTAAAGTGAAATGAAAAGTGAGACTGATGCAAACTATAACAACACAGATCAGTCTTCAAACAAAAGCTCATGACCTGATCAAAGCTTATTACAACAATCAGTGCACTTGTTCTTTGAGCTGTGACTTACTTTAGAGTGATCGAACATGGGGCATTTCATAGCCAACTTAAAATGGTAATCATTGTCAGCACTTGGAATCTGAATGCAAGCTGATTGAGAGCATTTCAAATGCAAGGAGCTAGAAGATTTTAGACTTTGGGAAATCACGTGATACCTTAGCTGGGCTTCTGAGCTGTGAAAAAGACCTGATAAAAAAACACTAAACCTCACGAGGGACAACAGTTGAAAGAGTGCCACAGATATTATCATTACTATAATTCCTACCTCCTCAGGTGACCAGCTGATGCCCTGTTTGAGCCTCTGTGTGGTGAACCAGACTTTGATTTGCTCCTCTGGATGTTTTGAGGCTGCGGTGAGCCAGGAGAGCTCAGCCTGGGTTGGGTAGGGGAACTTGTTAAAGGAAGAGATGAGTGTCAGGTTATCGTCCAGCGAGGGGTTGTATTTGGTGGTGTTGAGGGGCACTGCGATCTTCGGCACCTGTACAGATACAGTAAGCAATGGTGACTTGATGGCTGTTTTTAATCCTCCAATGATGGCTTCAAGTCCTGTTTTCAGTTCTTTTGTTCACACAAGAACATACAATTAAGCATGGTGCATATTAAAATCAAAATTAAAATTTCCTTAAAACTAATGAATAATGTATAATTAGTAACTTCATTCTCTTTAAATGTATTAAATTGTATACTCGTCTTAGCAATTACTTTGAATTAATCAATTGAAGTGCACCAATATAACACCGCATCTTGTTTCCTTATAATTAGCACTTAATTAAATTGGTTTTTTTCCCAGGAAACTTCCAGGAAATGAGTAGGAAATTACAGACCCATAAAATCAAGACATTACCAGCAAAACATTAAAATGTTAATTTGACAAACAACTTCTCCACTTTTAAAAGCTAAATTTCGATGCAGTGCCAGAATTTGAAGAAATACTTTAAAATTTCAGTTTTCTTTTCAAGGGTGAGAAGATTGTCTCATGTCTGTAGGCCAAATGTGTCGCCAGAGCCATGAGACAGCTAGCTTAGCTTAGCATAAAGACTGGAGGTAGGGGGAAACAAGTAGCTTGGTTCTGTCCGGGTTAGGTTAAAAACATCCACTAACACATCTAAAGCTCATTTATCACATTATATAATGAGCTCAGCGCCCACTGACTGCAGCTTTATCTGATGTACAGACACGGGAGTGGTGCTGACTTTCTCAACTACCTTTTGGCAGGAAGGTAAATAAGTGTATTTCCCAAAATGTCAAACTATTCCTTTAACTGTAGAGGAATAGTACATATAAAAAAATGAGCATCGTTCCTCCACTGTGTGTCCTACCTGAGTATAGTTTAGAGGCCGCTGTAGGGAAGGCATGATGTGAGAAAGGCCTTCTGCTTTGAGTAGAGTCGACTCAGGGATGATGACCGTCCCGTTCACATTGACTGCTGTGATTGGTTTCTTGGACAGATCGGGGGTCAGCTTACCCAAATCTGTCCGTTTAATATCTGACGACATTATTTTTGGTTTACCGATCTTGACTGTGGAGGGTTTGCTGAGTGGCGGTGAGCCCAGTTCGTCCCCTTTGCCGGAAATGGCACTGGAAGTGTTGTAAATGACTGCATTGTTACTGCACCCCTCTATTGTCTGTTCCAAGATTGTCTGATTGTTCATTTTGATGCGTTTGAATTTAAAGTTGCTCTCCCCTGGGTGACACCTCTCGTTGTGTTCCGTCAGGGTGTCGAACTTCTTTGTGTTGAAGTTGCAGACGGCACACAGATACAGGGGATTGAGGATGACGTTAGGGTGGTTGGCGTCGACGTGTTCTTTGAAAGTGTTGAGGTTCTGCGTGGAGAAGGGGCAGTATTTACACTCATAGCCCCCCTGCTGTCTGCGCTGAGGCTTGGAAAGGTCTGGTGGCTCGGTTGCTGGTTTGTCTGGAGCCGTGGGAGTTTCCGAGGCCTTGCCCATCAGGTCCAACTCCACAGAGGGCTCTGCCTCTGTTGACAGATCTGTTTCCATAGGTCCCTCCTCTGTGTAATTCTCCGTTGTTCTCTAGAAGATGGCAGTTTTCAGAAATAAAAAGACACTTTACAAGAAATGGCATTTTTTAATACTGTATATTCCCTGTACAAAAACACACATTAATATATCAGATGTGTGTTTGCATCATCTCATAGATTTATGAATTAAATCTTTCTGAAATCTACACATCCACTGAAATACACAGAATCACAAGAAAATGTATCCTAGAGAAGAAAAAGATTAGGATGATTACTAGGAAGTATGAACCCTTATTTAATTAGCCCATCCTATTTAAGAAAAGCCAGCTGCTTCTGGTATACTAAGGCATACTGAGAGTATACCTCCATGTCATGTGACTCCTCTTCATCATCATCCAGCTCCACCATGGTCTGCTCTGGCCGGATCATTAAGGGAGTGGAGGCCTTCCGTCGACTGGACATGATGATGGATCCTGGGTTTGTCTAGGTGGACAGCTGCCCTCACTTGGTGCCTTTGCTGGGCCAGTGATGATATCAAGGAGGCCGAGGTGCCCAGGATGCAGGACTACTGTCACAGAGTGGTGGGTGGATAAACAATCTCAGGCGGCGAAGAATAGCCAGGGGGCCTGGCTTATACTAGAAGCCTGATACAGGCCCAGGCTCTCTTTTCGGAGAAGTAGCGAGCACAGGACAGTTTCTGGGATGGAAGTGAGCAGCTAAGGAGTCTGAAGAACAGTGGTCCCCTGGGGGAAGATTAGTGGCTGGAGCGAGCGGAGAGCAGAGGAAGGTGAAGGTCTGGTAAAGATGGGACTGTTGTAGCGTAGAGTAGGCCGGGCTCGCTGACAGTGTCAGCTCCAGTGCTGGCAGACCTCCTGGAACTGCATGACAGTATGCTACCTGGATAAAAGAAAGACAAGACAGAACACAGATTACTATGACAACTAGACCAACATTTTTATTTGGGCCTTCTTTTGTTTACAAAGCCTTATTTTACCTTCATGTCCTCTACTTCTGCTAGCTATTGCCTCATTTCCTCTGCATAGTTTGGCTCTACACCACTCAGCTCAACTCATTTTTGGTACCATGTCCTTTACACTATTTTTTTTCCACTAGGGAGAGAACCCCCTCAGTGTAGGTGGCATTTTCCACTCATCATCATAACGACGACACTTAAAACTGCCACAGCATCATTTTCAATGCGACACCCACTGAATCCTTTCATCAGCAACCAAACAGAGGGATGTCTGCACTTCGTCAATTGTACAGCGTAGTGTACAGTTTTATTTTTTAAAAATCTGGTTCGAGTGAACAAAAAAAAACTGCTGTCACTGTAGAGTGCCCCAGGAATGAGTCCCAAAAACCCAGATATGAGTTAGCTTTTTGCACTCTTGGCTTCCTCATCTTGAAGTCAGTGGGATTTTTGAATGAGCTTTTGGGTTAGGTCCCAGAAATAATGCCTGTGGTTAACACAAGCTTAAGAGACTTTCATGTTTTGTTCTATTACAAACGAGGAAGCGCGCACATCCAAAAATAAAGATTGGGTGCTGGACAAAAAAGTCAAAACGTGTAGGATAAAGGAAAAGAAGTCCGCACACCAAAAAAGCTCCAATGCAAATAAAATTGAATTAAATCACTTCATGGATGGGTGACGTTTCGGGCACAAGGTCTGAGGAAGGGCCTTGTGCCCTTTTGTGCCTCTGAGTAAGCGTTGCATTAGGCAACAAACAGGCTGGTTTGAGCGTGTCAAGAAAGGCAACATGCTGCGTTATTTAAGCTCAGCGGTGTCCCGTGTGGATCTGCAGCGAGCCACAACCCAAAAATGGTAGGGGAGTCAAAACAGTCAGCCGGCTGGCTAGAATGGCTCATAGTGAAGAAGGTCAAAGGAAGCTGACAAACAAACAGATGGACTACAGGTTGTTGATCGCCTCACCAGTACAACACTGGTGCTGCAAAGAAAAGAGAAGCCAACGCCTTTTACAACAAACTAATTGCAGTGGGCTGAGGAGCAATCACTGGACACTGGAGGTCTGAAGAAGCACTACCTCACTTAATGAGTATTTGTTGTTTCATGCTGATGGAGGGAGGGAGTGGTGTGTTGAGAAATCCAGACACATACAACCCCACAACTTTACGCAAAGTGTTGTTATCTCAGACTATATGACACATTTTCAAATGAATCATGAAACCTTGAGGAGGAAGTGGCAGACGTGTTGGAGAAGAGACAATATATAAGTTACTGTTAATGCAATGTAGAGCTGAAATGCTTGGTTGATTTTTTTTTTTTTTAAAAGCCAACAACTTTGATATCTGCATAAGTCACATTTTAAGCAAAAATGCCAGGAATACTCTGGTCCCTGCTTCTGAAATGTGAATATTTGCATGTTTCTTGGTGTTCTATAACAGTAAACTGAGTATCTTTGGGTTTTGGACTGCTGGCTGGACAAATTAAGCAGTGTGAATATATCAGCTCGCGTTCTGGCTCCTTTTTCTGACATTTTGCAGACTCCTCAGATTAACTGTCAAAATAATCGTCAGGCTAATCGATAATGGAAGCCCTAGGATACCGGCTCTTCTATTTTCTGTGTTGTGTGATTTCAGCTACATTTACATTTTCTGCAAAACTGCCAACACTGAAAAATGTTCTGGAGTGCCACCTTGAGAATGTCTATTAATGTCTTGTTTTTTTCCCTCTCATGTGGTGATGAAAAAACAACTGCATATGTCTATGATAAATTAGGGTTAACTATTCACTGATTAGTAAGCAAGTTGCTGAAATAAATATTGGCACAGTTTTTCTGATACATTAAAACAAGCAGTTGTATAATCATGGCAACAACATGAGCACTAATCTTTGAGACCATGAACCGACCATGAACTTTGGCCGCCTCAAACACATACCTACTTTAATTACAGTCACTTGGCAAAGACTAGAAGAGTTCAGGTGGTGACGCAGACTGAAAAATGAAAACATAATACTTTCATGGACCAGCTTGGGCAAGTTTTACAAAAAGGATTTTCTAGTGTCTATTTATGTAGAGTAAAAACATTTATCATCACACTTTGATAGCAGTGGTTTGATAGCGTAGCTGGTATGCAAATATATGCAGCTGACAGGTCTACAGCTGTCAGTGAGACAAGTTGTCCTGAGAAATATTGACTAATCATAAATCAGATTGTGCCGCAGAGTGTGAACACAGTGAGAAAGCAGAGACAAAGCAGCTTCAGATACATATCTTAAAAAGCCGACAGCAGCTTTTATTTGGGTTCTGTTGAGATGACACCTCTGCGAAGGAGAGGCAGTTAAGAGAAGCTGAGGGAGAGTGAGCAGAGGAAACTTTCCTAGGGTAATATTGTAATGAGCGGAGAGAGAGGAGCTTATCTGGCTGGAAAAGTCTATTGATATTCTGGAGGCCTCATGCAGAAGCTTCATATTCACATGAGTAAAAATCAAATGAGTCGATGCAGCAGTGGTGCTCCTCTATCAAGACGTAATGAGGCTCCATAAAACCAAGTCAGCACACAGCACAAGGAAAAGTCCTCCCCCAAATTAAAATCTCCTGTATGCAACACTACCTAAATGTGACGCTTATGGGTAAATATTGACAGAAGAAATAGGTTTAACCCCACCCTGTAATCATATTTAAACCTGTACAGTTACACTGCAAAAGGGTGGGGTAACAGTAAATATGAAAAAAGTAAGACTTTAGGGCAGGGATACTCAACTTGTGTTGCCTGGGGGCCACTTTTGCAGAATGACAGAGGGTCAGGGGCCAGTTAATACACAAACATTAATAAAATCTATCTGTTTATATAATAAATGAATTGCCTGTTCTAGCCTTTTGACGTTTGCTGTCCTCACTCATCTTTGCTAAGAGGCAAATTCAGTCGCATGAGGACATTCAGGGCTCAGCCTGGACCTCCACTATAGGGGGGATCCTTCCCTGGCACTTTTTTTTTGATAGATAAACTCTATTTAGATGCTTTTTATGCACTCTAGCAGCTTATTTACATTCAAAGTACGGGAAAAAAATCCCAGCGTGAATCAATTTATTGACATTGTGAATTAGAAATGGTCAGAAATGTTAGCAAGATGAGTATCACTGCTTTAGGGTCTTCTGCCAGCTCAGCAGGTTCCAACTGTACTTTGTAGTCCCGCCAAAGTGTCACATGCTTAATTTGGGCCTCTTCACCAGCTGCGCATTAATCACACTGCACTGTACCCTTCAAGGCTCGAAGGCTGTCGTTTCGCCAGTCGACTCATTGTCCCGAGATATCTCAACTCCTCATACAACCCACTGAGGCATCATTAGAATGCAGACTCATTGCCATGGTGTCGCTATAGCAACCGTGGACGTAGAGCTGTAGTCAAGTAGCTGCTACATCCGTGTCACTGACAGACACTGTATGTTCGGGGATGACCAGAACACCTGTGTTTGGTGTTTTTAGAGACAGAAAAAAAAAATACTCAGGGAAACAGAAATCTAGCAGAAATAGCTGACAGGCATGAGAATGAAGATAATGATGCTGTGGTGCATTTGTGAGGTTTCTACAGCTTCACTCAAGTCGATGGGGGAGGTCAAGGAACAGTCAGACGGAGAAAAATAATAGCAGCTAGTCATGAACAGCACATAGACACTTTAAGTCCAGTGGCAGAAAAGGTTACAGGCGTCCTAATTATCCTGCCAACCCTGTTTTCGGAACATGCATGTTGTAAACACCGCAGTGTACATACTCAGTCCTCCACTTACTCTCACTCTGTCCCTCAAAGTCCGCCCAAAACCCAGCAATGTAGCCAACATCTGGTGAGGGGGAGCTCGAGATGCATCTGTCAGCTGCATCTGAAGTGCCACTTTATCCGACCTGCTGAACTTCTGCTGCCTCGCTGCTGACACAGCCTCAACACTTTACGTGTGTGCTGATGGGTGACAGCGCAGTGGCTGGATGAGGATCTGACTGTGAGCACAATGGAAGAGAGAAAGCTGGTAGCCGGACTGTTTTTACCTCCTACTGGTGTGTTGAACCCACACAAACGCAGGGAGAGAGGATGAGCAGCTCCATTTATGCAACATCTATATTAGTAAGCAGGAAACAACTGCTCTATAGCTTTACAATGTCACTGTTGTCAACTCATAAATGATGCCTGGGGCTTCTCAAAAAAGTGACTGTCTGACATCAGACGCCAGTTTGCATATTAAATAAGTGCCTATTGAGTCATTTACAGAAATTCACAACATGACAAATTTTGAGCAGAAGCTGCCTCAGAAAAAAAGGGAACATTATGTTACACAATATACACACACGGGCAGCTCCGCCGTTTGAGATGTTGCGGCCAAATTTAACTTGTGTGAGCTGACTGTCTCAAACAAAGAGGAAAGCCTGTGTAAAGAGTGCTGAACACTGACGATACACTGGCACCAGAATCCTCTTCCTCTCTTTGCTCTATCAGGAGAGCGGCAGCAGGCCAGGGGCCGCTCTACTGCTGCCTTCACTGACTACTTGGGAGCACTGAATGCTATTGTGGAAAAGATAATTGGTACAATGTGATTAGTAAGCAGGGCAATGTAGAAGTCTATTTGACAGTCATTAACTTTATCAAAATAACTTGTATAATACTTTCATAATAACGTTACTAATGGGCTCCAGTCTAGAAAATAATCATTCGTCGTCCCTGAGAGACGAATTTTATTTTCTGAGCTGTTTGTCTGACTGTAAACATCTCAGCTGTGGAGCTGAAAGAAATGTGCTAACACTAATGTTTCAGTCAGCCATCTGAGCCTTTCACGTAATTATTTTCACTTTATATCCAGTACAAAAAAACTAATTGCACTCAAACTCGGCTGCTTTCATAACCCGGGTCAGACAGTCAGTCTCCCTCCTTTTCGTTAGTGTGTCTAACC